TATAATTTCTCCTCTACCCCTAAACTAGTGAAGCAATCAGCCTCCTATGTAGTGGCTTTGAATGATGACTAAGAAAAAAGTCCATAATTTAAACACTTCAGTGATTCTAAACTATTTCCATTTGCTAAGAAAAAATTCCTTTACATAAAGATATAACCTCAAACTTTAATTAGCACTGGAAAAATGCAACTACAACTGCAAATATGGCAATCTGGTTGACATGGTAAATAACCTTTCTGCACATAATCAATTTAGGGTTCTGGCAGTACTGAATTAAAACTCCTAAATGTTTTTGGCTCTTTCCCTGTCTTATTTTTATGATCATTATGCATTCAGAAAACATATGCATTTATAAAAACATCTTGTAGTTATAATTTAGGTTTGCAGATGATACTACATGTGATTTGGCTCTAAAAAGAGATAAATATTCTGGTCTGAAAAGATAATCCACTAAAGCACAAATCCATTAAAACATTAAAGTTATTCCATACAAATATCTTACATTATTAGCACATTACCTAGGAAAATTTTATGTCAATATAAAATATCTTGTATCCATCATTTTAATAGTCTAAATGTAGCACATAGAATTCTTCTGCTATAAAGTTAATCTTGAAACATGTTGGATTCAAGAATAGTACATGCTAACAGCCTTTCTTGTCTCGCCATATATTCTCTAGTATTTTTCATTTCTGATTTCCCCATATAATTATTTTTCTTATCATTTTAAGTTTTCTTTATATCTTTGTTTCACTTTTTTAACATCTGGCTGTCTTCTTGTATTACATATTGTGTTCTGCTCTCAAAATTGAATTGCCATCTCCTATAGCTAGGTCTTTATTCCTTGGAATTCTGTACAGCAAGAAAAGAACACGGGTAATATAAATAGGAAAATCAAAATATTTATTTTCCCTGGAATATAATAATAATCCCGTAGAACCTATATAATACTGAAATTTTATTGCCTCTAGTACTTTTGCCAAAAAGAAGAAAATGTGATATAAATATTGTCAGAGAGCTGAGATGGTTTCCACATCATATTTCCTAGACTTGATGAAGTTAAAACTATACTTGAAAATGTCAGAGTTGTTAAAACAAAATTAATTTTGGATAGACTCATCATTTAATATATTATGCTGTGACTAGGAAATCCTGGTAATCTGATTTTCTAAGTAATATATCATGAAAATTTTCCAACTTACATATTTTGTTTTTTGAACTCTACATTTTAAATATACAATAGTAAATGCTAATGATCTTTTGAAATGTCTTCCAAAAATGATATTATTACTGTGGTATAACTAATTAAATTTGATTTGTAGCTACATTAGTTAATTAATCTTAACATTTTCCAGAACAGTTAAGCTAATGTTAGACCTTGGAAGACCGAACAATATTTTGTAATAATTATTACCACTAAACTAGCACCATTAAAGAACAATCATTAACAGCACTTCAAATTTGTAGATATCACCTACCAAACCACAAATCAAATCAGCATATTCTTCATTCATTTTTTATTAGCTATTAACATTAGACAATTCCCTGTTGAAAGTCAAGATTACTTGGCCTGGGTTTAGTATTTGTCATTGATTGAGCTTATACAAAAACATCTGCTTGTTAATTATATCTATTTAATAGGCTTTTGCTTTGTAATTTTAAAATGTTTTGCTGAGAATATGTTTTATTAGAGATTATAAGCACCATTTATCACTTATCAACATTTTTTCTCAAATACATTTTGATCTTAGAAAAGGTCAAGTTGAAATAATTCAACTCATTTATGTAAGAATATGAATGAACAGGTACAGATATTCCCATATTATAAATTTAAATTACTTCTTCTACGCTAAAAATAAGATCTATACTAAAAGTAAGATTTGTGTCTTCTATACTAAAAATAAATGACTTCTTTCATACTAAAAATAGATTCCAAAATCTATCTTGTTTTTGGAATCAAAGAATCAATAAAGCTATACTATCTCTTAGTCTCCATCCCTGATCTGATTGGACTCTATTTCTACCTTGGTTAATGGCTCCTTAAAATTAGATAACTTTTAACTCCAGGCTTTTCCAGGAATCTCTTTATGATGTTCTGGAAACAATTATAAATTCTGGCTTTGTGTACAGCATTAAACAAACAAAAAAATATTTTTCAAAGTATTTAATAAAGTTTAATGGTGTCAACACCATTTGTGCATTGTAGGTTTTGAAGAAAGTCACCTCTCAAGATTTGCTATGTAATTCGATGAGATACAAATTCATTCTTAAAGATAAGTTAGGTTGAGACTACATAATCCAACTCCATTGCATGATGACAAACTTTCTTTTACTTGGATCTGACTGGATGGGTGTGGCACTGGAGATAATCACACACACACAAAAAAATCCCATAAAAAAAGTAATGATTTCTAAACTGGTAAACAGGCCAGCATAACTCTTGTATCTTCCATAATATATTTTTCTAGAAACACTGTCTTTGAATCCTTGGTGCTTAAGGGGGTAAGTACCAGTCACATAAACAATTCATGCAATCAATAGAGACCTACTAAGTATCTATAAAGCTTGTCTATAGAGTCAAGATGAAATTATTGTAAATAATAGAGCCCAGATGTATTCCATCTTTTATGCATCAAAAAAAAATTAAAATTCTAGAAAGAAGAAAAATGTAGGGCTGTAATTTCCTTCCACTTATAAATAAAATGCTTTACCGTTTCTAAAATTTCACATTTCAACCTAACCAATAAAACACTGTAAGAGTTTTATAAAACAAGGAACTGGTGACTGATCTAGAATACTCCCAAGGATATATATACAGAGATGGCACTAATTCTTAACAATCTTCACCAGTTCCACCAATTCTTACAAGAAATCTAGATTTCTAAAAATGGAGTTTGGCAATATTCCTTCTTTCGCAAGAGTAAAATCAATTTAATTGCATAGGATGAATGTTTTAAATGGAGCTTGGCAGAATAAATTATTCCATCAAATCACTGTCAATCTTTTCTTTAAATCATTTTTCTTCTTCTTCTACATTGTGCCACCCGAAGGAAGGTTATTTATCTGAGATTTAGTAAAAGTCCTGGACAGCAGAGTAGATAGGAAAAGCTACTTTTCAAATAAACAAGTACAGAGTGATTATTCTTAAGAGAAAGCAAGACAAAATTTTCAAGAGAAAACATCCTTTGTCAAACAAACAAAACAATACACCGATTTAAGGTGCTTTAAGGGCTACCCTTGTGAGTTCTATTAATAACATGAAATACACCTTTAATAACATGCAGTACACTTTTACATGGATTACAAGTGCTGCCTAGTACAGGAGGGTTACATAACTAAAAGGATTATTAAATATAATGGGAAAGAATTTTTAGCAAAGAAATAAAGTTTATGTGTGCTAACCTGGGCAAGATGACATTCAACACATGACCTTTGGAAAAATTCTTTCTTGGGTATGAAGGATATTAATTTGCTACTATATCACTATCTTTCAGTGAAATAAATGTCCCAAGAAAACACATCTCAGTAAGTGGAACATTAACAACATGAGAACCAACATAAAATCTATATTAACCAAAACATTATCCCCCCAACACACACATCACAAGATGGATATTATAATCTCTGTTTTGCTTGTTTTCATTGTGATACTGTACTCAGTAACTGTCTATCTGTATAATACAATGTCAAAGAGATGTAAAGACATGGGAAGGCTCTTCTTAGGAAAATCTGTTCTCTGTGCCCATTCCCACCTTTTTGGTTTGTTTCCCTACACTTTCATTTAAAAAAAAAATTATATGCTCCCTACACTTTCAGTAGGAGAAATTTCATACTTAGCATACATTTGCCATTTGACATATCACCTGCCATTAGCACAAGACCTAACCATTTTCAGAACTGACTGTATTTAATACTTTTTCCCTGAAATTTCTAAATCACCAATGCTTCAACCAACATAATCATTCATTTCGATGTCCTTTGTTGCACTACAGATATTATAAATAGTTTCCTCTCTTCCTTCCTTCCTTCCAGTTTAGACATTGCTCATTTAGTCAAATTTTCTGGTTTGCTTTTGGGGAGTTGAATGCAAAGCCCTTTCCTAGGCCAGGAAGGAGGAACAGCTCTCTAAATAACAATTTTCAGTGGAAAAATCACTGCACAACTGGGTACTTCATGTTACAACATAGGCACAGTTGTAACCAATAGGAAGAGTAAATTGTTCCTCCTTCTTATTTCTGACCTGCTCCCTGACAAGTAGGACGCTTGGACAGAATCTTATTTCTCTCTCCATCACTATGTAAGTAAGGTAAAAGGGTTTGTTTAATCATGTAAAGTAAAACCAGAATGGAACCACAAAAGAGTTGTATAGTTTTTCTCATGTTAGCATAAAACCGAAGAAGCGGGGTTGGTCATTAAGTCATAATTAAGCATTAGTATTTAAGCAGAAACCTTAACTTATATTGCCACAAAACACAATGTCAGATAAAACCCACAAAAATATTTTCAGCCAGCTCTGGTAGTCAGGAAATTCTTTTCAGAGGTGTTTCCTTTTTGGGCTTTCCCAATTTATACTCAGCAGTGAACTTAGAGACCTATTGTGATGTTTTACACATTCCTTTTCTGTGTATGTATCACGTGATTCAAAATAGAATACAAATTTTTCAACCCATCTCAATGAAGTGATCTGATAAATTGTATCACAAGATTCATTTCATCATGGTTCACAATGTACTTAAAATATGAAAAGATACAAAAGTAAAAATAAAATCTTGATGTCAAATGAAGATCTCTGTGTGTAGAGCATATTGATAAGTGGCACCCAAGTGAGGACTGGTATTTGGAAAGTTGTTTTGTATAATAACAACTTCATTCATTGTACGTCATTTAGTTTAAAAAATGATGCACACACCCTTGCATTCTTAAACACACTCAACCACACATACGCACACACATACACACACACATACATACACACACATATATATACGCAAAGAACTTACACAATTTCATCGTTCTGGAATTCGAGCTCTCCACAGGTGTCCTCAAAGTCCTCCCCTCCACCTCTGGCAGTCCCTTCAACGGTTTTATAGGGAACGATAACATTTCCTCGAGCTCCAGATGTTCTCAACACTTTCACCTCCATGATGCCAATGCTCTCACTCACGTGAGTCACAGGTTCCTCAAAAGTAAAGATGCCTGCATGGTCATCATCAAAAATAGTTACAGTGGCAGTGGAGGGAGAGCCAAGGCAAGCAAGGGCAGAAACGTGATTGGCTTCCAGTATGCCATCTTCTGAAGCTTCAGAAGACACTTTGACATTGCTGAGATGCACAAGGAAATTCTCATCCTCCTCAAAGATATCATCATCAATAATGCCAACTCTGATTTCTTTCTGGGTCTCGCCAGGCTTAAAGACCACAGTTCCTTCGGTAAATTCATAATCAGACCCAGCATTGGCAGTACCATCCTCTGTTCTAAAGTCAACGAACACAGTGTTGGTCAAATCACCACCTCTGCGGATAATGGTCAGGGCCACTGTACCACAGTTCTCCAGACACTGATATGTCCCTTGTTCAAAGAAGATCTTACTAACAGGGTCATTTTCAGCCACTTCCGTGTTGACCTCGTGCATGCTAACGGCCTTCCTGGCTTGGTCAGCTGCGTGCCTCTTTAAAATGTTGCCAGCTCCAGTCATCAGGCGAGTAGCTTGAATTCGGTAAAACGCTCTACTTTTCTGCTGCTGACTTAGGACTTGGTAGTTTGCTAATTCTATTAATTGCTCAATTTCTTTCTCTGGATGCTTCTGCTTAAGTTCCTTCAGAATTCTAGCCATTTCTCGCCTAGCTTCTTCATCATCCTGGTCCCTCTCATCCACTTCCAGAACCAGAGCGCCATCTAAGAAGTTGTCAACGTGAGAATTGACCACTTTCCCATCCATTTCAATTTCAGTCTTGGAAGATGGCCTGTCTCCTTCATGTTCAATAATCATTCCCCTCTGCTTGCCAGCACGATACCTCTTGTAGACATACTTGTAAAAGAGAAGCCTCCTATCTGCCACCCAAGCGAACACAACACAGATGGGAAAGAAGAAGAAAGTAAGCAAACCTTCCCAGACTTCCACAACGCCAGGAGAGATCACAGACAGAATAATGTAAAGCCAGGTGTAGGCGAAGATGCTCCAGGCTGCCGTCACAAAGAACACGCGCAAGTGCTTGATCTTCCTTGTCTCGCCATCCGGAACCACGTAAACACAAAGTGCGATAATGATGAACATATTGAAAGCAGCACTTCCCACGATGGTGCTAGGACCAAGGTCTCCTGCAGTGAAGTTGTGGCCACACACTTCAATTACTGAAAGGAGAATCTCAGGAGCAGAAGAGCCCAGTGCCATCAAGGTCAGGTTAGACACTGTTTCATTCCAGATCCTCACAGTTGTCTTGGTGGTCTCTCCATTGGGTTTCTTTATGGTTATTTCTTTTTCTTGAGATGTGATGACTTCTATAGAAGACATGAACCGATCAGCTATGATAGAGACTCCAAGAAACATGTAGACCATGGCCACAAAATACACAGTAGCTCTAGCAATTTTGTCCCCAAAAGAAGGGTCTTGGGGCTCCCAAATGGGCAAAATCACCCCTTTCTTACAGTAATATGAGCCAGTACATTCACCTGTGGTTTCATTTCCTTCTCCTTCATTTTCTGTCTCAGCACTTACATGGTCCACATGGGAAAACAAGAGCGCCACAATGACTAACAGACGAAATCCCATTGAAAAGGTGGGTGAGAGACTTAATCGCAGCATGTTGTGCATGAGATTTCCAGCTGTCACAACCTACTGGTAAAAATAAGATGGGGGTGGAGGGTGGAAAAAAAAAATCACACTATTAGAGCTACATCCAAAGCATGATTAATTACTTATTTTTATTAATTTTACCAAGAACTTGTTTATATTTGACCATTACAAATGTATTCTAAAACTTCACTAGTAATTAAGCAATCCTTTGTAATACAAGTTTACAACTCAATTTCTCTGTGAATTTTCTATGTGTAGTCCCCATTCACTGAGCAAGATACACAATTGACTTATTAGAAATGGAAAGTTCAATTATAGCCTTGCCTTATTAAATACACATTTATGCATGCTAATAGCCAAAAAGAAAAAGAAACCAAAACTTTTGAAGCATTAAATAATTTCCTCCTTATTGCTAAAGCAGATTTCCTCTTAAATTTTAGTTAATACAACATCTTCCAGAAACTGTTTCTTTGCCAAAAGCACCTTATTAACATTGATGCTTTGAAATTCAGTCTCTGAAAAAATCCCACCAACATAAGGCCTGATGATTATCTTAAATTCTGGAGTACACTGTATTTCATGAAATCATGTCCTGTTCCACATTCACTTGGAAACAGAGAACTCTTCAAGCTTGCCTGCAATCAAAGCTCAATGGTATTTGTTCTAGAGGGGGAAAAATTCTGCTGTCGTGCAATATTTCCACACATTAAGTACAGTTTTTAAAGCATGTTTTGATGAGAGCACATTTCCTCCTAATTTTCAGCCAGCCCAGGTCCCCTGATACATTAGCAGCTGGGCATCTGGTTCTTCAAGCACAGCTCTTCACATCTGTGCACAGAGCCTGCTTTAGAACCTGCAGGACATTCACACCGGAAAGGGAGATAACCAGGCCTGGGCCTCATCGTAGGTAAGAGCCTGGCAGGCTGTGAAATCAGCGTCACCAGCCTTAAAATGTTCCTACTCAGTGTCGATGTCGTACTTTCCGTGGTCATTCTAAAACACATACTAGTTCTGTAGTGAGTTCAAGTGACCAAAAACTGCAGGGCCAATAATTCCATCTAAATTAGCTCATGTGGCATAACAACAGTGACCACAAAGTATACACATGATGGCAGATCGCAGGCCATCAGGGATACGGCAACAGAGTCACTGAGCAGCACAAGCAAAGCAGTGGGCTGAGCTGCTGCAGCCCTCCCCACCAGCTCAAGCAAAACTGAGCTCAGACCTTACATCCCCTCTGCCTCCAGAAGCTGCGATGGGGGTGGGGGAACTGAAATAGAGGAAGATCTACTCCAAGTCAGGGTACCTCTCATCTGGAAGGCCTTGCAAGAGGGACCAGTTATGACATCAGATAACACAGCAATAAGAAGAGGTCCTCAGTCAGAACACAGCCTGATGGCCTGGAAAAAGTTCAAAGAGGAGCTGGATTAGAGGCTTTCACAGCTTCAGGCTGGCTGATAGCCACCCCACGTTCGCCTACACTCTCTGGCTCGTGTTTGCTGCTGGTGGTCTATGCTGAAAACTACACCAGGGCCTAGGAGAACCCCCATGCCTAGCATATACTGGCAGACCCTCAGAGATCCCACCACAGCCTAAAGCTGTTTTTAGCTCATTACTATTGAGAGATAAGCTTCTTTGACATTTTTCCCATATCAAAGAAGACCAGTAGAGAGTTAACAGTAGTAGAGAATTTACTCTCAATCTAAGTAAAAGACTGAACATAGAAGAAGCACATTTTCAAATATGCAGAAGTTCATATTCAGGATGTCTGCTTGTTCAGACATTGCAGAGCTTCGGTGAGTTGTGGAATTTCTGCTTAAAGCAAGGTGAGATTCAACTGGGCTGCAAGAACAGAGGAAGATCTAGTTCCAACTCCCTTACTCATCCAGTTATTCCACAGATATTTATGCATGCTTAATATGCATTTTAGAGTGACTTGCTAGCCTCTCTTCTGGGTCCTGAGAATTCGCCAGTGAACAAAACAAAGTCTCTGTTCTCACTGAGTTTATATTCTAAAAGGGAGGAAACAAATAAATATAAATGTCAGATGGTAAAAAGTGCTATGGTGTGTGGAGGGGAGCAAGCTAAGGAGAAGTGGGAGTGTGTGTGTTTGCGTGCCTGTGTGTACAGTGTGTTCACACCCATGGTATGCATGCTTTTATATTGGATGGTTAGAGAAGGCCTCTCTGGTAAGGTAACATTTAAACACAGTCCTCAAGAAAACAAGGGGTCAAGTCTCATGGATATCTGCAGGAAGAGAATTCCAAGCAAGTGCAAAAGTCCTCATGGGAACTATGCTCAGCATAGCCCCAAACCGAGGACAAACCAATGTGGGAAGGGACCAGGCACGGGGTGGGGGGCTGGGGGATGGGCAAGACTCTGATTGGGGGCACTGAGGGCACCGCACAGCAGTGGCCTTGAAGGCGAAGGAGATGGGCATCACGGAAATGGTCTAATCAGAGTGCGAGGTGATCTGATTTGCCTTTTAGAAAGATCTCTCTGCTGGTTCAGACTGTAGGGGCAAGAGTGGAAACGAGGAGACCAGCTTTTTACCTACTATAATAAAATTTGATTTGTAAGTGATCCCAGTGCCTGGCAGGTATAAAAATGGTACAGTAGAGCTCTAACATTTAAAAAGGAGAAAGAGGCATTCATAGTGATCCTCTTGGAACATTAACTTAAAATGTCTTGGGAACCCACAAGGATTAGAAAGGTTAAATATTTGTAATAAATAGTAGCACTGAACAGAGATAGTAAACACTGTCTCCAAGACTGATATAATTAACCACTCCCTTCAAATTACTGCCAAATATCATCATTTCATTCTGCACATTTCAGCCAAAATGAAATTCCTAAAGTGCAGATCTGACACTCTGACTTCCCTTAAAACTCTTTATTGGGTGCCTATTGCCCTGAGGACAGAGCCCAAATCACTCAACAGACTATTGAAGACTTTGTATGATCTGGTCTCTGAGCTCCAAAATATGGGAGCTCTTTCCATTCCCTGAACAAGACAATATTTTCTCACCTCCTGGCCTTTGCAAATTGTGTTTTCTGTATTCAAAACTATTTTTTTTTTTCCTTCTTAGAAGCAAGTTTCAAAATCACACAACAGCAAATTATAGTCAATTGCCTGAGAAAATAATAACACTAGATTCCATTTGTAAACATTGCGATAGACACTGTGTTAAATTCTTTATATGTATCAATTACTTCTAATATTTGTTAATGTAATAACCAGAATTGCTGTGTTACACAATTTCTAGTGTTATTATTTACACTCTAGTCTATGTGAACAGTACCCTGTGGAGTTGTGCAATGCACAGTGCCCTAACAATAATCCTGTATAGTAGACACAATTAGCCCATTTCGGAGGTAGGATAATTGAGACTTAGGTTAAGTACTTGTTGAAAGTCATACAGATAGTACTAAGATTCAAACTCTGGTCTGTTTCCAATACTGATATAATAAATCACTTCATTGTATCATCCCTAGTGTATGAAGTAATAGTGTATGAAGTAATCTTTGAGAACTACTGGGCTTGGGCTTGGACTAGCCTATTGGAAAGTCTCTTGGCTTCTATGCAGGGTTACCAGGGCCTGGGTCAGCAAAAGTCTTGTGGAAAGTGTCCAGTGGCCTGGCTTATAACTCACAGATTAGAGACTCAAACAGACAAGCATCGATAACTGTGGTACAACACGTGGGCTGGCATGTTCTTAGAGACAGCTGTCCTTTTCCCTCTCTGGTCTTTTAGCAATTGCCTGGCAACTGTTTCCTGCAGGCACTGTCACGGCAATCTCCTAGGTCAGCCAAGAAAAAGCCCTGCCCTTTATCCCTTCCCTAAGCCACATCTCACAACGTGTTCTTAGCCAAAAGAGTACCAGCTGTATAAAGGTGGATGGATCAGTAAAATTTTCCATCATTGCTGTCAGAGAAAAAGGAGAGGGTCCGACGTTAACTAAAAGCATCACAATTATATTGAAAAGATGGCATCCTTATAAGGTGTGAAATCAGTGGACACAAAACACTGATATGGTTTATTGGCCGAGAATCAACTGGAAAGAATGCTCTGGACTTCAGTCTCTTTTTTTTCTTAATTATTAAATTAATACCAACTCCAAATGCTCATGAAGACGTGGGATAAGTACTATCTAAGTGTGAGTCCTTCATCCTTCTGTCTCCTTTCTTTCGGGGTCTTTCCTCTATCATCAGACTTGAAAAGTTCTATTAATACTTAACCCTCCCAGTCTGCCCCTAAAGATATATTTCCATTAAACTTAAGCAGGCAGGTAAGAAGAGAAGGTACAGATATGTTGGTTTGCTGCCTGGCTTTCTTATATTCCGCCTTGATCTGTTGATACAAGGGATAGGCTGGTTTTTATGGTGGATTCAGATCAACTCTTTGTCTGTGGCCAGTGCTCGCTTAGGAATATCCAGGACATCACCCAAATGAGACTGCAGCATAGTGTTAAGAATATTCGAATTATCTTCTGCTGTTTATTTTAAAATGAAACAAACACGTACAGATTCATCACATACAGATTACAGACCTGAACGGCACTGACAAAGGATGGTGAAAAAATACCCAGCTGTGAATAATCCGGCCACTAGCGTGGAGGGAAGAGGTCACAGCCACAAGGAATCGAAACACATGTCTGCAAGGCAGATCTTCACCAAACTCCCTTTGTAAAGGTTGAGGAAGAGCATTTGCAGAGAAGAGGTCTGAAGAGTAGTTAGGCAGCAGAGTACCTATTCCCTGCAGGAAGCAATAGCCAGTTTTCGCTGTCAAGGAGGACCTGACTCAGAGCGAAGGAATACGCTGGCAGTCCCACCAGCCCAGCGCGTTGGCCGAACTGCCTGACAGCATCCTGTTGATTGGCATCTGCGGTTATTCCAAGGAACTCCTTGACTCGCCTTCATCAGGACCTGGAATTCCTTTCTATGTAATTCGTGCTGACTGAAAGCCTTAAAGCTAAACAACTAATCTGTTTCTAAGGCAACATAAAAGCAACCATAAATCCCTATGCACTACCAAAGCAAGCACTTCCAAATGCTTCTAGACAAAACGATGACGCTGTAGGATGAAGACTTCTCTCATTTGACCATTCCATCGACAGTGAAAATTACTGCCCTGACCCGCAACCTCAGGCAACCCAGACCATAGCCAGACTTCAGGAAAAAATTTTGTTTACACAGAAATTCTCCACTAGATCTTTTTTTTTTTTTTTTTTCCAAAGAGAGTTTCCTTGCTGCTGTTGATAAATTGGGACAGATCCTAAAAGGCCCAGGATGAGAGAAGTCATGTGAGGGGCTCAAGCCCTTCTGCCTAAACATATAAAACTAAAGTCAGAATCCTGTTCTACGTCAGAAAATATCCACCTAAATTGTTCCGCAAAGCAAACAACTGGGGTAAGGGTCAGGCAGTGTGGCCAAAAAAAGAAAGATGGATTGAGGATATAGGATAATGAAGTTGTTGAAAAGTCATGAGATGTATTCCTTGGCCCATTTCCCTACTTTATTTTTCTACATAGCACTTACTACTTTTTCTATGCTATATAATTTATTCAATGGTTCTGTTTATTGTCTTTCTCTCTCTAAAAGATGTAAACTCTTGTAAGGGCACGGATTTATGTTTCTTTTTTTCACCGACGTATTCCCAGTTCCTAGAGCAGAGCCTGGCACACAGAAGATGCACAACATACGCTTACTGGATGAATAAAATAATTATCATAGGGTCATGTGCTGATTCACCAAATCCCTGGTGGTGAATCAGAATCTGGGAATTGGGCCTGGGCATCTGCACTTAAAAATGCTCTCTGTGTGAAATGGCTGCATCCTAACATGGGCAGAGGTCAGTATCAGACTGAACAACCAATGTCAGTGTTAGCTGGAGGAGAGGAAACACGTGATTCAGGCTCATAAGTAAAGAATCTCAGGCTAGAATAAATGATCTCCAGAATAAAGGGAGGACCTGGGGACCTGTCATTTTCCCCAGCACCCAGGTATGGGTTCTCCTACACCAGATCAGGCTTGTTGATTTTACCTGGTCTGTTAAGAGGGTCCTAATACCTTGGACATACTCAAGAATGTATATCTTCCCCTTCTTTCAGTACCATTAGAAGACGTGTAATCAAACACCAAGCAAAAACCACCTTCATTATAAAGGCCCTATAAAAGGGAAAGAGCACCAAGAATTTAAATTTAAATATACTAATTATGCATGCTAACACAGAAACATGGTTAGAAGGAAGAAAACTGGAGAAGAGAGAGTCTTCCAATAGAAAATAAATAAAGAAGAATTCAAAGGGAAGATGCTCTGATGATTGTGGGCTCCACGGGAAGTCAGCCAGGCTTGTCCTCAGAT